AAACGCACAGTCACGCCTGTTTTTTTAAAATGCACACATCATTTAAAACACACACGCCACTGCCTTCAATACGAACGTAATTTGAATTATTAGTACGTTTTCTTTTAGTATACACAAAATAATAAATTTACATTCCGCGCCTCGTACTCAGACATTGACATAAGTTTTGCTATAAATTTAGACGGTATATCATATACTTTACTTGTCAACAACACATACCTGTGTTGTCAATGTAATTTCAACTAATTGTAAAACTCACCATTGAGAGAATAGTTCCAATACACACACTGTGGATTGACAAGATTCTGAATAAAAACAAATATTACATTTTCAAATTACACTTAGTATATCATGGTTAAATGGTTAGTAGTAGATCGGAGACTATTTCGTTGATGATAATTTCAGATATGACACTCAATAAAAAATATTATAGATTTCAATAAACGCGTGGAATCAGAAACAAACGTTCACAAATAATATATAAACATAAAATACGAGAATCGAATTTGCAACTCGGCAAATGCACCCACCGCTGTAAAGCAGACGCGTTTCATGTTACGTCATAAGCATTACCCGCGAAAGATATGCCACATCTAGGTTTGGCTTGAAAAGCTGTTCATAATTTTTGAGACAGTTGGTCATAAATTTCTTAACTATTTACATTGCTTTGGTATGTAAAAATGTCAAAGAACAATTGCATTTTTTTTACACTTTTTAAAAATCCAGATTTTTGAAATAATTTATTACAACAAACAGTAGACCATTATTAACAATATATTATATTTTAAGCCGATGTCACCAGCCTACAATTTCAAGTTGAAATCTCAACAACATGAAGTTAAGGAAAATGGCCACTATCTACTAAAATACAACCATATTTTTTTTTCGAAAATTAGGCTGGTGACCCCAACTTGTTTAAGGCAGTAACTTAAGATTGCCCGAGAGTACATTTTAATGCAAAATGAATAAATTCTGAATATTTGCATTTATGGGCAGGCTTCCCCCTTAATAATTAGTCAAGCGGAAGTCATGTCAGGTTATTGCCAGTATGACGTCACATTATTATTATTTCGTCTATAAGGGTGAAAGACGTAATGAAATTTCCTGAATATTGATCAGATGCAAATCAGCACTAGATCAAAGAGTATTTAATGTATGTAACTGGTATAACTATCCTATAACTGTGTAATAATTTAGTATATTTATTGGGTTATTATTTATGTTTCACATGATAATACCCACTCCTCTTTGCCATGTTAGGTTGATTTTAATAGGCTCCCCTAAGTCACTGATGATTAGGTCTCCAATGCTTGCTCCAATAACTGCACCATTCAGTACTCCATGTATGGTATCATTGTTGATGTCATAGTCAGATGTCACATTATTCAATGTCTGGTTGACATCGTCAGACAACGCTGCGCCTACAGCCTATAAGTAAAGTTGACAAGCGTAATTCTTTCACGTAGATGTTATCAGAAAGTACACATTATTGAATAAGACAATAAAGTGTTTGTATTTTATATACATATTGTATACGGATATATTATGCAATCATTCAATCAATTCAAACACACGAAAACAACGATTGATTGTTGTGTATTCGGAAATTCTTATTTTTGAATTGAAGACAATCCGACCTGAACTACTTGTCCTGCCTCACCTTAAAGAACATGTTTGATTTATATGATATAAACTGTACTCTGGACGACCCATCTTGAAAACTGTGTTCATCCAATAAAGACGACGGCAACTGAATTGACGATTTCATATTAGCCATTGGTGAAC